GATCAAAGCTGAATTGTTAAAAAAAAAAAAAATGAAGTAGCTTAGTGTGTTTTTTGTATTAGAATTAGAAAAATTAAAAAGAGTTATTCATTTTGTTCTGTTACTTGAAAATTATTATGATTGAAATAATTGTTTGAAAAAAAGGGGCAGATATAATAACATTTTTTTTCTTCTTTCTGCTGCCTTTCATTTTAAATCTCTTGTATCTTTTTTATATTGTTATGGAATTGTTTTGTACTTTTTTTAAATTAATAAACTTTATACCATACCATACCTTTTACCATCTCATATTCACAGTGTTAAAAAAAGATTTGGTAAGAAATGTCAACTTCTTGACGAAAAAGTAACTCGTAAGACATGTTTATGTCAAAAAATTGGAAAAGCTAAAAAGCACCGGTCTATAAGTTGGAATTTAGGGGATAATATCGTCAGGTTCATGTTTTGTATTTTGTTGGTCTTGTTTAGTTTGTCTCTGCTACCTCAATCACACATTTTCCACGTTTGCGATCAGCACACCTGCTTCTTGACCGATTGTTGCTAAATCCTCAGTGTTCCTGTGTCTATCTACTGCACCACTCAACCCTCCTTTCTGTGGTACAGTCCGTACGTCATTGTTCTTGTGCAGTGTATGATCATCAGAGTTTAGACCACATTTCCTTGAAGTCAGCTGGGCGATGACTCAGGTAGAAGTGACGATGAGTGGCAAGGAATGAGCTTCCCCCTAAATGAAGGGTCAACTGTTGGCTGACGGCAGAGGTGTCATCTCAGATCATGGCTGACCTGTCACAGGGATCTACGTTTATTATGTCATTAACAGTCTTGACTCTGTGTGGAGCATTTGGCTGATTCGCTGCTTGAAATAGATCGCAAACTCTGCATAACCAGCTAGACACTTTGTCAGCTGGGCTGCCAACGGTGTGTTGGTTAGGGGACAATGTCACTATTGAACATTAACTTATGGAAAAAAGTCTATTTATTTTACCAGACAAATCCCACTAAGGGGAAGCATGGTGGTGCAACTGGTAGAGCTGCTGCCTCTCAGCGAGCAGGTCCCTGGTTCAAATCCCGGTCCGGGGGCCTTTCTGGGTGGAGTTTGCATGTTCTCTCCGTGCATGCGTGGGTTTTCTCCGGGTACTCCGGTTTCCTCCCACAGACCAAAAACATGTATGTTAGGCTGATTGGTAGCTCTAAATTGTCCCTGAGTGTGGGTGAGAGAGTGAATGGCTGTTTGTCTCGTTTGTCTCTATGAGGCCCTGTGATGGACTTGCGATCTGTCCAGGGTGTACCCCGCCCCTCGCATTGTGATTGTTGGACATGGGCACCGGTGACCCCTGTGACCCAAAATGGAAGAAGCGGGTTAAAGATAATGGATGGATGGATGGATGGATGGATAGAAATCCCTCTAAGATCTCAGATCTCTTTCTCAAGGCAGGCCTGCACCTAAAGGCAGCCAAAACGTGTGATTTTAAACTGTGGGAGAAAACACAAGACCAAGCAAACTCCACATGGAAAGACCCCAGGCCCAATTCGGGACATAAGCCTAGGACTGTCTTACTGTGAGGCAACAGTAAATAGACTGTACTTATATAGCGCCTTTCTATCTTATTGAGATACTCAAAGCGCTTTACACTACAATCTGTGTCCTCATTTACCCATTCATACAGCACCCTACTAGATCTCTACAAAGCTAATTGAACAAATCATTCTAAAGAGAATAATCAGTGATTTATCACATTCATACACCGATGGGACACACATCTGAGGCAATGAGGGGTTCAGTGTCTTGCCCAGGGACACTTTGACATGTGACTGCTGTGGGGTTCGAACCCCCACCTCTTGCAAAGGAGGACGACTGCTCTAACCACTCAGCCACAGACGCACAGTGATAACTAATCCATCGTGCTGCCCTAAAAGAATTTAATTCTGACTGTATTTATGGCTAGTCTGAGCCGGCCCAAGACCGAATTGAATTACTGCTGTTTTAAAACAATCTATTAAAAAAAAATCATAGCAATTCATATGGCCGATATAAACTTTATGAATCTTCTTGCTGCCATCCATATTCTTCCGCTTATCTGGGGTCGGGTCGTGGAGGTAGCAGCTTAAGTAGGGAGGCCCAGACTTCCCTCTCCCCAGCCACTTGGGCAAGCTCCTACGGAGGAATCCCAAGGCGTTCCCAGGCCAGCCAAGAAACATAGTCCCTCCAGCGTGTCCTGGGTCTTCCTCTGGGTCTCCTCCTGGTGGGACGTGTCTGGAACACCTCACCAGGGAGGCGTCCAGGAGGCATCCTAACCAGATGCCCAAGCCACCTCAACTGGCTCCTCTCGACATGGAGAAGCAGCAGCTCTACTCTGAGTCCCTCCCGGATGATCAAGCTTCTCACCCTATCTCTAAGGGAGAGCCCAGACACCCTGCGGAAAAAAATCATTTTGGCCGCTTGTATCCGAGATCTCGTTCTTTTGGTCACAACCCAAAGCTCATGACCATAGATGAGGGTGAGAACGTAGATCGATCAGTAAATTGAGAGCTTTGCCTTTTGACTCAGCTCTCTTCACCTGGACAGACCAGTACAGCGCCTGCTTCACTGCAGACGCTGCACCTATCTGCCTATCGATCTCATGCTCCATTTTTCCCTCATTCGTGAACAAAACCCCAAGATACTTGAACTCCTCCACTTGGGGCAGGACCCCCTCCCTGACCCGGAGAGGGCACTCTGCCCTTTTCCGCCTCAAGACCATGGCCTCGGATTTGGAGGAACTGATCTTCATCCCGGCCGTGTCGCACTCGGCTGCAAACCGCTCCAGCGAAATAAAGTGGAACAATCCATAAATATGTCGTTTCGTTATATACGTCGCATCGATTATGCATCACCGCTGACGTGTTACTTTTGTTACGCGTCACTGCCAAAAACCCGAAAATGTGGTCCGATCCCAGAAATGTGGACCGGTGTTGTGCCAAAAACTGATGGGCTGCCAAATGGCGGCTGCGGGAGCGTGCACGGGAGGACTTTAACAAGAATTTAACAAGATTAACACTTAAAAACAATTATTTGTTGGCTCAAAATTATAGTAAATGTGTCTCAGTCTAACATTTGCTTAATAAATGTACCTGTACTTTAATGGTCAAATCAACTTTATTAAAAAAAAATAGTTTCGCTGCCTCAGTGCTCCGTGAACGTGCAGAGGACGAGAAAAAGGAAGGCGGAACGGCTTGTTTCACCGAAATTTAACAAGAAAAGCACCTAAACAATTATTTGTTTGCACGAGATTATAGCAAAGGTGTGTCTCAGTCTAACATTTGCTCAATAAATGCACTTTAATGGTCAAATCAGCTGCATTTTGCCGGGGTGGTGCAGCTGTTTTGACGGTTCCAAGCAGAGAGCAGAATGAAGGTGGGGAGACTTTGGCAGGCCTATTGAGTCATTAGAAGCTGGTGAAGATGCTCAGTCATCCAGGACATGGTAAATTCTAAAAAGTTCAAGAAAAAAAAAAACAATAAAGTATAGTATAATTAATCAAGTCCAGTTGTTTGTGTCTTGAGCTTTTTTGAATTTGTCATTATAGCCACGTTTACCTATTACATGATACAACAACATGCCATACAGCTATTACTACTCTGCTGCCATCAAGTGGCTGAAAGTCGTACTGATATTTCTTTTCAGTCAGAATTAATGGAAACGGTCATATCTCAGCCAAAAAATGGTTTATAACTATGGGAAAAAATCCATAAATAAGTTGCTTAGGCCTATAAGTTGCAGGGCATGTAAATTATGCAAAAAACTGTTACTTATAGGCCAGAAAATACGGTAGTTTCATTTTGAATTTAGTATTTTGATAGATTTGTTTTAATGGAGAGACTCGAAGTAGAACCGCTGCTCCTCCACATTGAAAGGAGCCAGTTGAGGTGGTTCGGGCATCTGGTAAGGATGCACCCTGGGTGCCTCCCTAGGGAGGTGCTTCAGGCATGTTCAACTGGGTGGAGACCCTGGTGAATACCCAAGTCACGCTGGAGAGACTATGTCTCTCAGTTGGTCTGGGAACATCTTGGAGTCCTCCCAGAAGAGCTAGAAGAGGTGGCTGTAGAAAGAGATGTCTGGGCCTCCCTGCTCAAGCTGCTGCCCCTACGACCCAACTTTGGAACAAGCAGAAGATGATGGATGGATGTTGATTTAGCTTTTGTTTGGTTCATGCTTTTTTTTTTGGTCTTGTTTAGTTGGTCTGGTCCTTCCTTATTCTAAGTGCCTGATCATCAGATCCTCGTTGTCCGTGACTAGTTTCAGTCATTCGTTTTATTTTAGGTTAGTTGATCTTGTGGATCCTTCATTTCCACCCCATCTGATGCTTCTTGTCTGCCTGTGTTAGGTCCTTTTGTCATCACCTTCCATTTCACACTTGAGGTCCTTACTGTTGGAAATATTTCGTTGTTGTTGGTCAGTATTGTCTGGGTAGGCAGAACAGAGCAGTTGTCTTGCAATGCAAGAGTTGGGGGTTTGATTCCACCAGCAGTCACATGCCAAGTGTCCCTGGATAAGACACTGAACCCCTCATTGCCTCCGATGTGTGTCCCATCGTTGTATGAACGTGCTCTAAAGCTCTGATTATTCTTTGTAGAGATCTAGTAGAGTGCTGTATGAATGGGTAAATGAGGGCACAGATTGTGTTGTAAAGTGCTTTGAGTATCTTGATAAGATAGAAATGTGCTATATATGTGTCCATTTACCATTTATATTCAGGTCTGTCCTATCATACTTCAAATATGTGTGATAATTTCAGCATCAGCCCAAAGTGTGTGGTTTGGCATCAAAGATGTGTTGCAATTTCTTTCAACAATTCAGAAAAATAACCTGGGTTTTGTCTTGGACTGGGTAAAGTTGAACCCTGTCTTCCCGGCTGATTGTATCCGTGTTGTTGCATCCCCTTATTCCAAGATGAGTTTGTTTTCAGCTGCCTTCCACCTTGTCTGTCTCAACCCTCATGTACTGTTCCTCCTCTGTGGGACAGGAGATGTCCTTCAGATCCAGTGTTACCAGTGTGAGGAGATGAACCAAAACGACTGCTCGACACCGGAGTATATCGTCAACTGCACGGTCAATGTACAGGACATGTGCCAGAAGGAGGTGCTGATCAAACCTGATGGTAAGTTGGCGTTTTAACTTGGAGGTTTGCTCAGAGCGTTCTGATTAAGATGAACTGTAGTTTTTGGTGGCAACACTTCAGCATAACTGGGGTATGTATGGACTTTTGGGATTTTTCTCTGTTTTATGGAATCTTTAAGGCTGAGAATGCAACTAAACTCCCATCAAAAGTGCCCATTCAGGGTTCCTACTTATCTGGAAATGACCGTCACGGAACACAAATCAGCTCCCAAAGGGTTCACCTCCTCCAAGGTGTATTTTCAGTAAGCAACAATATCAGTTCAAAGTAATAACAGGCAATCTTTAAAGTGAAATTCTACTAAGACGAGCTTTCACATGAACGACTCATTAAATCAGCTGCAAAATTTGCACCCTTGACATTTTTTTTCCTTCGAACAAAAGTTTCTTACCCGGAAAAAAAAATCAACCATGTTTTATTTTCTTATCAAATACCTTCCTCGTGTCTTACTTACTCACCCTGGAGAAGAGTTCAGCGCAATCTTTTGTAATTTTCAGCACAGCGGATGTTGTTATCTGTTATTTTTCTCTTTTACTCGGCTTTAAAAAGAAGGACTTGCAGTATTATTATGAACTCAAAAGACAAAATGCTGGTCTGTAATGCAGTGTTTTTCATTTGTTTGCAGTCTGCTGCTTCATATAAATCCAGACAGCCCATTTTATGATCATTTTAAAATTCTGTCTTCCTGCTGCCCAATCCCCAGAAAACACCATCGCTGATCATTCTCATATTCAGCTCCTTCTGGTTCAGATTCGTTTTGTTTGCCTTGCAGAAAATAAAATGATCCAGGCGATAAAGTGCACACTTTGACAGTTTGCCTAAGCCAGAAAAGAGAAAAATAAACACCCAAGAAAAACATCTGTTTATTATCTCTGTTGTAGCATCGTTAGCTTATTAGTGTAAAATGTAATTAGCTAAAGATGCTAGCGTTAACCGTTAGCATGGTGCGTATCCTAAGCATGGATTACGTGATTATCAATTAACCGTTTGAGAAAAAATTGACTTTCTGGAGTTATAAATGATATGATTAAAACTATAATAAATTTGAAACTGTTTTTCTTAATTTGTCTGCTCATAATGAAGTTTATTGCCAGAAACTACCAATGGGTCAAATGTATAAACATTTTTAGGTCCTATTTGTTTTTGCAGAGCACTTTTATCATTAAATAACAATTATTTGTCATAGTTTGTGTCTTTCATCTAGTCTTTGGTTTGGTTTTAGGTTTCTGCTGAGATTTTTTTTAATTAATTTTTGGATGTTTTGTGGTCCATTTGTATGTTGTTGTTTTTTTCAATCTTCCCACAAACTGTTTTCATAATCCTTGTTACTCCTATGGAGCCTGTGCAGCTTTTGTAAAACTGTTGATCCATCATGTTTTATCATAGAATTCCTTTATTAGTGCATCATGGTGTGTGATTACTGTTAAAAGTGGGATAAGATATAATTGTACAGTATATTCAAAAACATGCTATACAAATCATCAGGGAAGCATTCCATTGTAAAAAATAAAATAAAAGTAAAAAATAACAGTATGCTGCTAATGTATATTAAATGGTTTAATAGGGTCCTCAGACTGGCTCTTATAAGGCTCTGGTGGAGTTCCTGGAGTACCGGAGTTCCCGGTCATTCCCTCTCCTGGTTGGCTCCAGTCTTGCTTGTGTCCTGTTGTCTGGATATCTTGTCTCATTTTTGTTGACAGATTGACTTTCAATGAAGTTTGTTCCACTACCTAAACCAGAATTTAGTCTGCACCTGGCTATGAACCAAAATCATGTCTGCATGTCTTTAACCACATCCTTCTCCACGTAATATACGAGAAGCTGTGTCTGGAGGTTTGATGTGAGGCACAGTGTTCCAGTGACTCAGTCGAGGCTCAAACTTCACAACTCAGTCTGGAGTGCAGTTGTCTCACCCTACCTTTTGCTTGAGAATTATATTTACATGACCGAGCTATATGCTGCCTGTAACTGTACACAGTACATGACAAATTGCTGTTCACCATGATGGAACACCACAGCACTAGCTCTATACCACCTGTGCTCAATTAGTAATCTTCACACCGGTAACTTGATAACCACTTATCCAAATACTGTACATTAAACATCCATGTTTTCCACAGTTTAAAGGCAGATTCATCTCAATGCATCGTGCTTTTTTTCCTGGATCCTCTGACCCATTTCAAACACATAATTTTCAAATGTACTAACCCATAAGTTAGATGTTGGAGAAAAAAATATTCTCTCTTAATTTACCGTACTTAAATAAAAAGAACCGCACTAGATGGCAGGAGGTTTTTAGCCGGTATTTACTTGCAAGCACAGATTTTCAGGACAGGTTACACAGATAAACAGGAAGTACACACGAAAACCAGTCATGAGAATCTGCCACGAGCTGTATGTGAAGCTTGTTTTTAATACTCTTATCAGTTCAGCTGAGCTCATAGACTCGGAGGTGACCTTGAAGCGAAATGTGCCTCACCCAGCACCTCATCCAGCTCTCTCTGCTAACCCAAACATATGATTCATGGGCAGAGTTAACATTCTCAGCCATAGTAGTTAAAAACATTCATAACCTTCATCCAAAAAATTCCCAAACTTTAGATACCAGGCACCCTTTTCAGGTTTTGTTTTCAGGCTAACATCCCGTGGTTGTGGTGGCTCAAAAAGCGAGTTCCAAAAAACAAACAAAAAAAAGCTTATAAAAATTATAATAAGCTTGTGATGGTCTTGCAAAGTCCCTTTTTATCAGGATTCCAAAAAATTGGATTTACAGTAAGTGGTTACGTATTGTGGTATAACACTGGCTAAATGTTCAGGTGTACTTTTTTTTTTTAGGGTTACAGAATTTACACACCAAATCATTACGTCTGTGTGAGTTCAATGCAAATCTCAGTATGTTTCAGAAACCGATGATTTGTTGACCATGTCCTATAGAGGTGACTTACAGGTAACAAAGAGTAGAAGAGATTACTTTCTTTACCTTTTTTATAGAGGTCACTTCACTTGATGCCACTCTAGTATAGGGTTAGTGGCACATTGTTTCAAACTATCCAACATTTTTCAGTCAGGTCATCTGGACAGCTTCTTTTTTTGTACTGAAACGTTTCGCCTTTGATCCAGCAGGCTTCATCAGTCAAGGAAATGCACAACAAATCTGATTCTTCCTCCAACAGCTTACTCCAAAGTGGAACAAAGCAGTTTTGTTTGTGATAAGATGATGAAGCCTTCCGGATCGAAGGCGAAACGTTTCAGCACAAAAAAAAAAAAAAACTGTCCAGATGACCTGACTGAAAAATGTTGGATTGTATACCTGGATTATTGAGCATGGACTTTGTTGTTTTCAACCAGTTTGACACGACTGTCAACAAGGAAGAGGGCCGGCAATGAAGGAGGGAGCGTACCAAAGAGACCATCTTATCACAAACAGAACTGGTTTGTTCCACTTTGGAGTAAGCTGTTGGGGGAAGAATCAGTTTTGTTGTGTGTTTCCTTGACTGATGAAGCCTTCCGGATCAAAGGCGAAACGTTTCAGCACAAAAAAAAAGAAACTGTCCAGATGATCTGACTGAAAAATGTTGGATTGTATACTTGGATTATTGAGCATGGACTTTGTTGTTTCAAACTATATTGCAGATTTGAAAACCAAACACTCTGGACTGCTTATATCTAGCTGTTTAGACGTCTGGCGGCTGTTTTATTTTTCAGAGTAACAAGGTGACCGCGAGGTCTTGTGAAGGACATCAAACAGCATGCGGCTCCATGGTTAGACTCTCCCTCATAATTTGAGGTTTACAGATTCAGTACCTGGAGCCGCTGCTTTGTTTGGTGTCCTTGAGAGATGCTAAACCAGCACAGCCACACTGCAAATGGTAATTTTATGCTTTGATGTGACAGACAGAAAATGCGTTTTTAGTAGAAATGTGTGTACTCTTATCACTTTCAACAGGATATCTAAGAAGACAAATATTCAGCTGCACATAATTTCTTTCTGAGATAATAGAAGCCTCTGCTAGCTGAGTTTTAAATTCATCTTAATTTGATTTAATCTTTTTCTTTCTTTGAATGACACTTTAAAGATAAACCACCCGCTGTAACATGCCTTAGAAACACATGACAGATAACATCAATATAAAGAAACAGTACTTGGCAACAGAAGGGGTGGCTCGAAAGAGCAATAAAAACATACATTCTTTTATATAGACTGTATAAAGTGCCACGCTGACAAATATCAGCTAATAAGAGCCGACGGAGAATCGATATCTCCATAACTCAAAAAGTGCAATAAAATGCTGCAGCCGAACAAAACAAAGAACTCTTTTAAAGTTACACGTTCAATCTTAGCAATCTAATTACGGCAGAGAAATATATATTTTGGAAGTGAGGCTCTGCAGGCTACGTCTGTACCGTATCTGCCTAAAGTTATTCAAAACTAGAGAAACTGCATTTCCTGCAAAAATGCAGTGTAAATGCTTATTGCAGAAGAACTTGCTGAGAAACCGCAGTAATTAGCTAAAACACATGCTGAAATGCAGCTAAAATGGAAGAACAAGCTTAAACTAGCAGAAGAAATCAGAAAGAACACATACTTACTGAAGTAGGTTTAAATCAGCAGAAATTAGAACTAAAAAAAAAGAAATTAGCTTAAAAAAATCTGACATTAGCATAAAACTGCTGAAAAGTAGCTGAAAGACAGAAAAGTTAAACTACCAGAAGGAAGCTGAAAGAGCTTAAATTTGCTAAAAAATGTGGAATTAGCTGAAAAGCTAAGATTAGCATAAAACAGCTAAATACTAGCAGAAATAGCTGAAACTAGCATAATGAAGCTGAAAGGTGCATAACAAGCTGAAATTAGCATAAAGAAGTTAATTAGACTGAAAGTAGCAGAAATTTGCATGAAAAATTTGAATTTCTCTGAAAAAAGTCACAAAAAAAAAAGCTAAAAAGTTAGAACAAGCTTAAATTAGCACAAGAAAGCAGAAAGAACATGTTTGCCCATTTAGGCTGAAAGAAGCAAAAATGAGCACAAAAGTGGAAATAATCTGAAAAAAAGCTCAAATTATCAAAAAACTGCTGAAAGGTAGCTAAAAAAGCAGAAACGAGCTTAAATTACCAGAAGCAGGTGGAGAGCACATTTTTGCGTAACTAGGCTGAAAACGTTAAAATGAGTGAAAAAGTGGAATTAGCTGAAAAAGCTTAAATTAGCATAAAACAGCTAAATAATATCTGAAACAGTAGAAAAAGCCAAAACTAGCAGAAATAAGCTAAAAGGAGCATAACAAGCTGAAATTATAAGAAAAAGGTTAAAGAAGAACTAAAATGTTATAGTTAGCAGAAAGAATCTGAAAGGAGCACAAAAAAAATGAAAAAACTGCTGAAATTAGTTGACAGTGGCTAAAAAAAGTTTAAATTTCCACAATGAAGCTGAAAGAAGCTGAAGCAGAACAAAATGTGAAAGGAGCAGTAAAAGGTTGTAAACAGATCTAAAGATATGAAGGATGGAAAATGAGCTCAGTTCAGTTCCTATAAAGAAAAGTGACAGAAAAATCTAAATATTTTTAAAAGCTAAAGTTGCACCAATACCAAAAGTCATAGCAGGATTGTCCTGAAAATGCTGAACATTTTATGATTTGTTGAAATAACTTGAAAACTGCGGGGTGAGAATCATGCCGAAAAACATACAGAAGAAGCTTACAAGTTTCATAATATTCATAAAATTGACATCTCTCCGGTTCGGTGTCTTTTTTTTTTCTTCAGGGATACATTATCGGAAGTCCTGCGCCTCCTCCGGTGCCTGCCTCATCGCCTCCTCCGGTTACCAGCAGTTCTGCACCGGCAAGCTGAACTCTGTGTGCATCACCTGCTGCAACACGCCGCTCTGCAACGGCCCCAAGAGGAAGCGTCCCGTCCCGTCGACGGGAACAACGAACCGCTCCCTTCTCTGCCTGTTGATGCTGACGTTCCTTCCGCTCATGTAGACGCTCCGTCACATCTTCACCGTACGGTTCATTCGACTAAATTGCTGCCAGGTTTTCTGTAATAAATCCTCAAGTTACGACTTGCTTAAACCTGAATGTCCTACATTTTGTTTCAGGTCCATCCTGTGAGACATCTGGACACCAGTTTGATTTAATTTATTTTTATTTTTTTCAGCCTCGCATAAAAACGTAACTCCTTCAATTGAGAATGATGATGAAATGAGACGAACACACCTAAATAATTTCTAGCTCATTTATTGTCAACATGCTGTATTTTTGTGAGGAACCTGCTCTGACATCAGCTTTATGCTGTAAAAAGTCACTTTATTTTGTGATCTTAAATTTATTTACGGTTTAAAGCAGCGTCATCAGGTCTAATTCTTGTTGATACCTTTTGAATCCAGCTTAGATTAGAACTAAGGGCCCATCTACCCTACTCCGACTACTTTCAATAAACTGAGATTAGTGCTTATAGTCACAGAAACTAAGTTTTTAGTGAGAATGATTTTTTTTTGGTTTGTTAATGCTTTTAAAAACTGTAGATTTTTTAAAAACAACGCATCTTTGTAGATGTGAAATAAGAGTTGCATTTGGGCCTAAAAAATCCGACTCGACCCGGCCTCCAGTACATAGCCATTTTTTTCTGAACCCGACCCGATCATTTAACTAATCGCCCCAAAAAATTTTGACTTGATTTTTTGTGTGATTAAGTTTTTACTGCTTTTATAAGCAAATCAGTTTGACATGATAGTTTAAAAAAACGTATTTCAAAGAAAGGAAGATATAAGGTTTTTGTTTATTATCAAGTCACCAAATGGATATTAACATACAAAATGAATAGCCTAAAAAAAAAATCAACTCTAAAGATAAGCTATTATACAGATGAACAAAAATACTTTTAGAGCAAAATTTTATTGAAAAGTATAGAACGAGGCTATTTTAGTTGAACGTGCTGCTCACTTCGGCTTTTGTAGCTTCAGATGCTGCAACTTCCTTCACCACAGATAACAGCAGGTGCGGAGACGCGCGCTACCGATGATCCGGTGATCCATCTGAAGCTTAACTGGACTTTTTTTTTTTTTTTTTACCTCTTTCAACTGGCCAGTCTGTGGACGCACGCAGCTGATGATCCCATTGTCTATCTGAAGCTTAACAGGACATTTTTTTATCTCTTCAACAGGCAGTTCGGACCTGTACATTAACACAATTTTACATTGTGCATTCTTATTTAGTTTTCTTTGCACTGTACAACTTGTAAAGCCGTATCAAAATCCCGAGACCGACCCGGCCCACCCATCAAGCACATTATTTTGTCTCAACCTGAAATTCAGGTCAAGCCGGGCCGGGCCGGGTTAGAAATCGCATCTCTAATGTGAAATCTAAACTTATCTGAAACAAACTTGGCAACCTTGTTTTTCAAATTTTTTAAACAAAGCTCACTAACTTTGTTGCCTCGAAACAAAAACAATAGAGCAATTTTTAGTATTTTATTTTCCTGCTTCTGGCTCTCTTTTATCCCAATCCTGAGTTGAAATAGTGATCACGAAAAACAAAATTAATCTGGGGCAATAAAAAAACTTTTGTTGTTTCTTTATTTTTGTTGTATGTGGCCTCTCTCGCCACCTAGTGGAGCAGCATAAGTATAACTGCAATTTTGACAAAAATATTCAAGCAGGAATAAAAATTAAAACAATTTTTTTTTTTATATCTGTAAACGGAGCCCAATGACTGATTTTTAAAGTTACTTAGAGCACATTTTTGCTCACTTTTATGTTCGCTTTTAATTTTCCTAGGTCGTTATTTGGGTTTATTTTTTACAGGATATATAAAAGATTAAAAAAATATCCATTGGATTTGTTGCTTATTCGTCTTCAGTTATAAAAAGTATTTAATTCAGTTAAATGCTTGTTACTTTATGAATTGAGAGTTTGATTAGAGCTTATTTTCAAGTGAAAGCCTGGTGAACTAGGTGAACAATGACATATCAGTTTGCACTAGCAAGCGGTTTAAATTTAGATATTTTTTGTTGCTAATTTATTTATTTTTTAACAGCTGATGACCCCTTTTGTGGTTCACTTTCTCTAAATTATTTACGCTAGCAGAACTAATACAATGATCGTTGAAATGTTCAGATGCACATTCTTTAAAAAGTTGCATTAAATAAATAATTTGCTTGTGGATTAAACTTTAATTTCACTGCTTGCCTTAGATTTTTGTCCCTCCCATTATTGTAAGTACGGAGCAAAAATCCACTACTACACTGTGCGTGTGTGTGTTTATTTTTTATTAATTTTATTAGGGTTTAATTCATGATACTGAAGAGAATTTGGACAGATGGATCAATGTTGATGATTTTATTTTTTAGTAGTCTTCTGTGAAGAGTAACACTGTATTCTGCTAAATTGTGATTTGAATAAATGTTGCAGAAAAATAAAAAAACAGTCCTTACATTGTGTTTGTGACAGAGCAGCAACACTTCAGCTGTCAGCTTTACATACAGTTATTTAATCAGAATTGTATTTCTGTCAGAAGTGCTACATCTAGCTGCTGCTGCAGTTTTCAGTCCCCCAGATTTCTATGTAAATAACGGTAATGTAAAGCTGATGGCAGTGAAAAAGGTTTATAAAGCTATGCAATAATAATTTGTCTATTTCTTAAAGTCAAAGGAAGGATAAGGCCAAGAGGTTTTTTTTTAAAAGGCCAACTTTATTAATACTGTAGTTCATGACAGACCAAGAAGGGATGACTCAGACTTTCAGCCCTGTGACTACCACCAAGCTCTGCTCCCAGTTATCCACACTTCCATTTACCCTGTTAATACTACTCCTTCTCCTGGTCCTACTCATACGTCCACCTATTTATGTCACAGCATTTGATCTATTTTGGACCCCTGCTTTAGCAGAACCAGGCTCATGGCAAGCAGCCATCTGCTTCGACCAGCTGGGTTTGGTAGGAACAGATACACAATGGCAGGTCGAGAATCACGTTAAGATAGAAATGGTATCTAATGAAAACTATTTGTAACAATTCATTTTAAGAAAATGAGGTCATTTTGTCCTCCACTAGTCTAATCCTATAGCAGCATAACAAGCCAACCCTAACTATAGGATTTATCAAAAAGGAAAGTCTTAAGTCCAGTCTTAAAACTGGACAATGTGTCAGCCTCGCGGACAGAAACTGGAAGTTGGTTTCACACGAGAGGAGCCTGATAACTGAAAGATCTTCCTCCCATTCTGCTCTTGGAATCTCTAGGAACCGCAAGTAAGCCTGCAGTCTGAGAGTGAAGTGCCCTGTTAGGAAAATATGGAACAATAAGAACAGTAATATAAGATGGAGCTAGGAAGTTGAGGGCTTTGTAGGTTAGAAGTAAGATTTTGAATTCTTGAAATTGACAGGGAGCCAATGGAGAGAAGCTAAAACTGGAGAAATATAGTCTCTCCTACTACTTTATATATAATATATATTACATATAATATAATAAATATATATATAATTGTGTATCATATATATATTATATACAAGTATAATAAAGTGAATTGAACTGCATAACATGAAGTTATGCTGAATACTCGTTTTTTTGAAGAAAGGAAGCTCCACAGACGGAAAACGTCTGCAACAATGGAATCAAAGTCCAGTTGTTTTGTTCTTATTTTAATAATTTTATTTACAATGTCCTGGATGACTGAGAATCTACACCAGCATGCCGAGGAGTGAGGAAACAACTAAAACATGCAGAATACTGGCATGCAGTGACCAAGAGTGGGCACCACTGGATGAGTCAGAATTCAGCTCCTAAATGAGATCATTCAGAAAGCTACCTACAACAAGTGAGATATTAACTGCTTATGACAATTCCACAGGAACAAACCTTAAAATATTAAAGCACCTTTTTAGAAAAGCACTCGCAAACCAGATAAATACGTACTTTCTCTAAAAATACTGTTCCGATCACAGTATACTGTAAATACTTCCTGCTTTTCCACTGGTTTTTGCCTTTTTACCGTTTCTTTAGTAAAAATATTGGTTCAGATGTAGCTGAGGATGTTCAAGCTTGGATTCGTCTTCCTACAAACGATGTGAATATGTCCATACCTTACAATAGAGCAGAGTGTTTAGTTTACAATGAAGCAGCTCCTACTGGATGAATCACGGGGAACAGTTTTTTTTTACAAAGTGATGAAACGTTCAAAATGTGGGGCGCTCAGCTGTTAAATACTCATGTGAGCGGTAGTTAAGGCCCCGTTTTGTTGCAGATTAAACACTGAAGAATGAAGAGGGTCCTGCAGCGCCACGACTGAGCGTCATTAAGCCTGAACGCAGAGGAGGAGGAGGGAGTGACGAACACGGCGGGGAAGTGCCGACTGCAGGTCTCCTGGGGTTAAGAAGCAGCAAAAACAGGAGATTATTAAAAATAACAAGGCCCTCCTCTGTCTTGCTCTAATGACAATCACGCCAGGGCTCTGACGGCAGGGAAACTTCAGCTGATGAGGGGGGCCTTGGCTCGTCTGCTTTGTTTACTGTGCAGAATAAGTTCAGCGGAAATGAGGGGCGAAGGATTCGTTTGTGTGGGCGAGAACATTTTGCACAGATCGCAGGTCACACGGAGGACGGCGAGATCAAAAGCCTCCAGGGAGTCAATTACCCGCAGTCCGTCTGTCCAGACGCCGAGCGTCAGAAATTCATCCATCCATTATCTTTCTCGCTTATTCCATTTTGGGTCACGGGGGTCGCCGGTGCCCATGTCCAGCAATCACTGTGCGAGGGGCGGGGTACACCCTGGATGGGTCGCAAGTTCATCACAGGGACGCGTCAGAAATGAACAGAATCAATTGTTTATTTCTGTTTCTAGTGTTGTGTTCAAGATCACCTAACCCGAGACCAAGTCAAGACCAAGACTTTTAGGGTCCGAGACCAAGACCTCAAATAAAATGAATAAAATATGAAATTTTATTATAAAATATTTTTTATGGAAGTGATATACTGCAACTTTAAATTTGATTTCAAATGAATATATCAGGGCAGCACGGTGGCGCAACTGG